GTAGTAAGTATTTATAAAGTTTTAGCTTTTAGTTTTGGATCTGTTTTTAGTTGTTTTAATACCACAATTGATTGCTTCTGTTGTCCTCATTTGTAAGTCGCTTTGGATAAATACGTCTGCTAAATGACTAAATAAAAATAAAATAAATATACTATAATGCATTTTAAATACAAATGTTTTTGGAACAAATGTTTTCTAACTATTTCATATTTACACGATACAGTATTTACACTATAAGTCAGTTAACAGCTTGTTTCCATTGTGACTATGGACAGCATATCCCACTACACTTTTAGTGAAGTCAGTTATTGAAGTCTCACAGAACTAGAGCCAAAGGAGTGTCACTGTTAAGCAAGATGCTCATTAGCAAAATCAGATTAAATCAATCAGAGGGGCAAGGCCAGAATATTTAACATGCCTAACGCCACTGTTCATATATCTAGGAGGTAATAAAGATCAGCACTAATATAGCCTACTTATTATACTGCAGTATAATAAACTTGACAGATCAAGCTGGAGTAAAGCGACTGAAGACGAGTCAGAATCAAAGACCAACAGAGAAAGAGTACTGCTTTAGAAGCACTTCAGAAAATGTAGATTCAAAGCACCATGAAGCCAAAAGAGTTACAGACTTTGCATATTCCATATCTTATAATACAAGATATCCTTGTAAATAATAAGTGTGCTAAATTGTAGGCCTATTTAATGTGCACTTGTAGTGCATTTCAAATCTTAAACGTATAAAACTATCGTATGTACTTGCAAATAATATAGCAAGGAAATAAAAGTCCACTTATGTGTATTACTTTCGAGTACTTTTTAAATAAAATGTACATAAATTACACTTAAACTCATTGTTTTAACAATCATTTGTCATGCTTTAAACAAATACACTTTAACTGATGTGTTGCTTTACATACTAAAGCACATGTAAAGTGCCTGATTATAATTTTAATTACATATAAAGTAAAAAAAAATGAAAAAGTGCTAAATTGCAACAAAAGGCAATTTTTTAACTACATGACATACATGTTTCAATAGAAATGATATTAAAGTATATTTTAGTTTACCACCAATACATTCAGCAGTACAATTTAACAATCATTTCAAACAGAAGTAATTGTGAAAAAAGATTTTTCGGTCAAAAAAGTACTCTAAAGTACTTTGCAATGTCTTCAGAATCCCTCACAAAATACAAAGTGTTATATAACTGTAACATAGCCTAATGTTTTTCCATTGTGACTTGGATGCTGTCACATTGTGCACAAGACCAAAGAACAGAGAAATATGCACATGATGAGCAATCTTGAATAATATTATCACGTTTTGTTCATTTGCATGCATTTTCTATTCAAGAAGCACCCACAGATCAGAACGAGCTATGTGCTGCTTCTCTGTGAAGGCCAGCCCAGAATGGAGTTTGCAGGCTACGCACATCTGTCTCCTTGCTGACGTAGTGGTTCCCATCGGCATGCGCATGCGCAGAGGCGGCTGCTCTGTGACGCTCCGTGACACCGGCGCTGTATTGGAGTTTGACGTGGCACTCTCGGCACGCGATTCAACATCAGCAGCGGAAAGGACGCAGCTCATCATTCTCCTTCAGGTGAGTCTCTATTCTGTTGTTATGTACTAGTAAACTAACAAACTAAAGATGGTTTTTGAAAGACAACCTTATTTTGACTGTAGTCTCTAAGCGTCTTTATTCATATAACGTTACTATATATATATATTTGTAAGTTTGGCTTGTACAGTATGCCAGTTTTCGTCTTCAGCAGAAAATATTTCGTAACTTTGTATCGCTGACAGCTGGTCCACGCGCATTATTATCAGCATATCGATCCTGTCCATTACATGTGCTGAAGTCTATCAATATGGACTTTATTCAGTAAAGTGAAACATTGCAGGTCTGTCATAACGGTCTTTGACGTGGCAGTTCAGGGCAGTGGCGACTGATACTGTACATTCACGCATAGCATCTCTGCTCTGAATATCGTGTGTGTTAACTGTTATAAATTAAATATTATCTTACCCTGACAATTGCTAAAGGCCTCTTGCAGAGACATTATGTCTCAGACAGGCCAATCATTTTAGAGAAAGAGCAGCCCAGTGTTCAATTTAGAGGATTTGTATTTAATAAACCGGAGGACATTGCTTTGTATTTTTTGCTTTGAGCTGTTTTCAAGCTCTGCTGTGTGAAAACATGCAGTAGGGATAGTTAGTTTATTTGTATAAGAAGTTTATTGAAACTAGGCATACTTTAGGCCTATAATTAAAGGGTTAGTTCACCCAAAAATGAAAATTAGCCCATAGTGCTGGGCGGTATACCGGTTCATACCGAATACCGGTGTTTATTTTTGTTATGATATGAATTTTTTAAATACCGCAATACCGGTGTGTATGTCGCTTAAACAACGTTCGGAACGCGACACTAGGCGCGTTTCCATTACAGATTTGCGCAAAACTTTGGCGATATTTTATAAATGTCGATAAAAAAGTATTGCGAAATGCCGGCGTTTCCATTAACCAATGTTATGCGACTAAAACGTAACCTTTTGCCTCTCGCGATAAGTCATGGCAACGGATTTTAGTGGGATTTTGGCTATATTTATTCAAAGGAGGAGTATGTGTGTATTTTTACAGAAGCAGCACAGAGAGCCGCTTCAGAAACGTGCGTGGCGCGGCTGGAATAAACCATAGTCCACAATATCCACATTGACTGCCACAAATATCCACCGCCCGCTGCCATCAGCTCCCGCGTCTCACACACACACACACACGAGCGCAACTTTAGCACTAGATTTAGCAACTTTCAGACCCTTTTAGCGGCTTTTTTCCATAGAATATTCATACTGACAAACCTAGCGACTTTTTTGGATAAACCTTAGCTATGGTTCAGTTGGAAGATTTCGCCAGTGCTGTCCCGCGAACGCGAGCTCTGACTTTACCGGAGAAGTGTCGCCTCTCTCTGCGTCTGTTCTGTGCAGTGAGCACTGTTGCAAACTCTCGCAAGACAAATAAGCAACCGCTGCTTCAAAAACAAGCCCAAAACAAGCCCAATTTTGTTTTGATGATTTATTATCATCAATATTATTTATTATCGATAATTTATTACCAATAAATGAGCCTGCAACATATTAAACTGAAACCACTCTTTTATCTGAAAAGCAAAAACAGAAGCTATTTTACAAAAATCAGCCAACTGCAACAAAAATGGGAACAAAACTCATCTCCAATCCCCTGTGTGCAGAATAGGATTGG